CAGTGTGAATGTGTTGTATCTACAATCATTCGAGAAAATGGGTCTGCAAAGAAGCCAACTGACCCACCTGCGGACCCCACTGGCAAGTTTCACCGGTAACTGCATCGAGGCTGAGGGGACCATCCAATTAATGGTTGAAATTGGGGATGAAACCCACAAAGCGTCACTCCGAATGACGTTCGTGGTGGTAGATATAAGGTGTGCCCACAATACCATATTGGGCCGACCGGGATTGGAAGATCTGGAGGCAATAGCCTCTGTCCGCCACTCATGCATCAAATTCCCTACAGACACTGGGGTGGGGGTGGCCAGAACTGATCCGACGACAGCCCGGACATGTTATCGGGAGGCCCTAAAACAGATGAACACTCGTGGGATGCGGGTTAATACAATTGAGGTGGAAACACACCGAACGGAGTTCGAGGCACACCCAGAGCCCGCCACCCTTCTTGAACAAATCGACCTCGATTTCCCCCCGAACCGTAAGGTGGCTATCGGGGTAGATCTGGAGGCTGATATCCGGGATGGCGTGATCGCCGTCCTCAAAAAGTTTCAGGTACTGTTTGCCCGGGGGCCAGAAGATATGCCCGGTATTGATCCGGAGATAATATGTCACAAACTTGCCGTTCGACCTGATGCAAAACCAGTCCAGCAGAAGAAACGGTATCAAGCAACCGAACGGCGGGAATTCACAAAGAAAGAGGTGGCCACCTTGCTGAAAATAAAGCACATCCGTCCGGTAATCCACGTAGAATGGCTATCCAATGTGGTTCTAGCCCCAAAATAATCTACTTGGAGAATGTGCGTGGATTACTCTGACCTGAATAAGGCTTGTCCCATGGATCCCTATCCAGTGCCGAGGATCGATCTGCTAGTAGATGAAACGGCCGGATGTGAATTGCTAAGCTTCATGGATGTCTTCCGGGGATACCATCAAATATTCATGCACCCGGCCGATGCAGAGAAAACGGCATTCGTTACTTTGGATGGTGTGTTTTGCTATATCGTCATGCCATTCGGATTAAAGAACGCAATGGCAACTTTTCAGAGGATGATCGGGATGCTGTTCAAAGATGTGCTGGGGGTCACAATGGAAGCTTATGTTGATGACATCCTGATCAAAAGCAGGAAGAAGGAAAACCATGTCCTGGACATAGAGAAGGTGTTCGGGATAATGCAGAAAACAAATATGAGACTGAATCCCAAAAAATGTGCTTTTGCTGTAAAAGGAGGCAAATTTTTGGGATACATGATGAGCGAGAAGGGGATAGAGCCCAACCCAGAAAAAGTAAAGGCAATTGTGGATATGGAGGCTCCAAGGAATCTCAAAGAAGTGCAGAGACTGACCGACCGGTTAGCAGCCCTGAGCAGATTCCTATCCAAACTGGCCGACCGAGCTATCCCGTTCTTCCAAATCATGAAGAAAGCCAACCCTTTTGAATGGACGACCGAATGCCAAACGGCCTTTGAAGATTTTAAGACTTATCTGTCTTCCCCCCTGGTCTTGACAAAACCCGAACCAGGGGAACATCTGTATATGTACCTTGCAGTGGCTGACCTGGCCGTAAGCACAGTCCTGTTGAAAGAAGAAGATGGCGTTCAACGGCCAATCTATTTTGTAAGCAAGGCGTTGAACGGCCCGGAAACCAGGTATACCTTGCTAGAGAAAAATGTACTAGCCCTAATAGCTGCCATTAAACGCCTAGCACCATATTTCCAGACCCACCCGGTAATTGTGTATACTACTCAGCCACTAGCCACTATCTTGAGAAATCATATGGCAAGTGGACGCATTACCAAGTGGAGCCTCCTGATCGGGCAATATGAGGTGGATTTCAAACCTCGGCCTACTATCAAAGGGCAGGCCCTGGCAGATTTCATTGCAGAATGTACCGCCCGACCCTCAGAGACAGATTCAGAGAACAATGGGCTGGACAACTGGTGGGAAATGTATGTGGATGGTGCAGCTAGTGCCAAGGGTTGCGGAGCTGGAGCTGTGATTACATCGCCCGAGGGGTTCAAGGCATATTATTCTATCCATTTTGACTTCAAGGTAACCAATAATGAGGCTGAATATGAGACTCTCATTGCTGGTTTAAAATATGCAAAGGCCCTGGGTGCCGATCGGTTAAGAGTCCGGTCAGATAGTCAATTGGTAGTACATCAAGTAAACGACACTGCTGAGGCCAAAGAAGAGAGAATGAAGGTATACAAGGAGATAGTTGAGGAGCAGATAAGAAAATTTGAACAGGTGGTGCTCGACCAAATATCCAGGATTGAAAATACTGAAGCAGATATCCTGTCCAAGTTAGAAAATGCAGCGTTCGACGATCGGGCACAGGAGATCCCGGCTCATATCCAACGTTTTGCCCATCGGGGAAAATTGGCGACCCCAGCAATCATGGTGCTCCAGATCGAGGCCATATCTTATGCCGTCCCGAGCTAGGTCATAGATATGACCAACTACCTGAAAGACGGAACCCTCCCACAAGATAAAAATCCGGCTTATCAAATAAAATGCATCCAGAGGAGGGCTTCCATGTTCGAATTGGTAGATGGGCAGTTGTACAAAAAGACATTTGGTGGGTCATATCTGAAATGCCTCCCACCCGATCTAGCGGCGGCTGTAATGGAAGAAATTCATGAAGGTATCTGTTCCAGCCACCAAGGGCCCAAGACACTGGCCAAAAAAATCATCCTACAAGGGTATTATTGGCCGACTATCCAACAGGACTGCTTTGCACATACTAGGAAATGTAAGGTATGCCAACTATATGCACCGGTCCCCGGACGGCCTGCCACTTTCTACACTCCAATGACGGTGGCCCTTCCGTTCGCAAGATGGGGAATAGACCTCTTGGGTCCTCTACCTACGGCCCCTGGAAACAACAAGTATATCATCGTGGGGATAGATTACTTTACCAAATGGGTAGAGGCCGAGCCACTGGCCAGCATCACAGATGTTAAGTGTCAAAGGTTTGTCTGGAAGAATATCATCTGCCGTTTCGGAATTCCTGAGCAGATCATGACGGATAATGGAAGGCAGTTTGTGAGCCGGAATTTTGAGAACTACCTGGTCAAATGGGGAATCAAGCATTCCGGAGCGTCCGTGGCGTACCCTCAGGCAAATGGCCAGGTAGAAAATATGAACCGAACCATCATGGATGGTATGAAGAAAAAGCTGGAAGAATACTCCTCATCGTGGCCTGATCAGTTAAATTATATTCTATGGACTTACAGGACCACACCCCGAACGGCCACGGGAGAGACTCCATTTGCCCTTGCCTATGGTTTTCAGGCCAAAGTACCAACGGAGATCCTAGTTCCCACGCACCGAACGGTGCATTACAACCCAGAACAGAATGAAGACAACTTACGGGCCGAATTGCATTTCATAGAAGAAAGAAGGGATCTGGCAGCTGCACGAATGGAAGAGTATCACAGAGCCACAAGAAGATATTTTGATAAGCAAGTTAAAGTTCGTTCAATCGAGGTAGGGGACCTGGTGCTAAGAAAGCGAGAAAAAAGCAAACCGCTCGAAGGTGGAAAGATGGCACAAAATTGGGAAGGCCCCTACCAAATATGTAAGAAGTATGCTTCAGGAACGTTTGGCCTATAAAATACTGAAGGCCGACCGGCAGGAACTTGGAATGTGGAACATCTAAGGAAATTTTATCAGTAAAACGGCTGTTGCCACCTCTAAAAAAAATGTATAGAGAGGGAGACATAACTTCCACATAAACTCAGCCCATGGTTAACTCGATCATTCCGGATGACCGAATGACGAACGGGTTAACAACATGGAAGGAAAATCAATTCTCAGCTTAGGGAGTTTTTGACCCTAGATTTATGAAGGAATAAAGGGATAAAAAATGGCTTGAAGAATTGAGGCTCAGAAAATCGGTGCCCGTGGTTAACTCAATCATTCCGGATAACCGAATGACGAACGAGTTAACAGCATGGAAGGAAAGTCATTCTCAGCCAACGGCTTGGAGTTTGACGCTCAGATAGTCTCACCTCAGCGGTTAATATGAGAATCGATTCTGGAAAACCGAATGACGAACATATTAGCAGTTTGGAGGGAGCCATTATTTCAGCAAGAGTTTTGACCCTGTAATTACGCATTGATGAAGGGATCAAAATGGCCTGGAGTTCGAGGACAGTGATTCTCACCTCAGCTTTTTAACACGCAAAATCATTCCGGATGACCGAATGATGAACGGGTTAACAGTTTGGAGGGAGCTGAGTCGTCAACTTGGCCAAAGTCGACCCTGTAATTACGTACGGGCAAAAGGATCAAAACGGCTTGGAGATGGTGTCAAGACTGTAAGATATGGATTAACCGAGCGACGTTCGGATAAGGTACGGATTGTCACCCGGGGAATCGGAACTATGGTTTTGAAAAAGCTCGCCTCAGTCATGAACTTGATTCGGAAGCGAGTCGCCCTTTTAGCTATAAGTAAGGAATGACCCAATTCGGTGATCTTGCTTATAGTTCGAAAAGGGTTACCTCAGACCCCTAATATGGATGATACGAGCCAGAGAGAACAGTTCGGCATGCATCGGAATTATGGGTTTGGAAGGGAGATAGTCTCACCTCAGCTTGTTAACACGTGGAATCATTCTGGATGACCGAATGACGAACGGGTTAACAGTTTGGAGGGAGCCCCTGTCCCAGCTGAGAGTTTGACCCTGTGGTCACGATCAAAACGGCTTGGAGGAATTCACCTCAGCTAAGAGTTTTGAACTCGTGCGTCACGAACGGAAAAGGGATCAAAATGGGCTCGGGAAAGGTGTTAGAACAATTGTGAAGAGATAGCCTCACCTCAGCTTGTTAACACATGGGATCATTCCGGATGACCGAATGACGAACGGGTTAACGGTTTGGAGGGAGCCCCTGTCCCAGCTGAGAGTTTGACCCTGTGGTCACGATCAAAACGGCTTGGAGGAATTCACCTCGACTAAGAGTTTTGAACCCGTGCATCACGAACGGAAAAGGGATCAAAACGGGCTCGGGAAAGGTGTCAGACATAAAGATACATGAACCGAGTGAGGTTCAGCCACATAGAAAGGATTGTGAACAAAAAATCAAAGCAACAGAAAAAAGACAACAGATAAGGAAAGAAGTCCAGTTTATTCTTCGGCATTACTAGCCGGAATATACAAGAAGAATAAAGAAGCAAACAATTACAGCAAGGCTATGCTACTGGAGGATTGCCGTTCGGGGAGGATGGAGGCTGAGAGCTCCCTGCCTGCACTGCATCATCAGGCGCTGCTTTGGACCTTTTCTCCATAATGCGATCATATGTATTCCCGAACAGATCGTCAAAGCCTAATTCATCAGGATCGAACGGCTTGGGAAATGCTCTAAGATCAGTTCAAGGTTCCTGTCCAGAAGCAGGTCCTGACTTTGCTTCACAGTTTTCTCGGTCAGGACATCCAAGAAAGATTTCCCTTCCGACGTGCTGTCCAGGAGGTCGATCCCTGCTTTGATGGGATCTTCGCTCTCACGCAAGAATTGGCCAAGGTGAGGGCCCAGGAATTGTCGGGTCGTGTTCTCCAGAGCGACGTTCAGCCCTTTGCCCCGTTGAAAATCCACTATTGATTGATGAGCAATCTGGGAAGTATTGACCGTGTAAGGTTCGGGCAGATGGTCGCCAACAGTTTCATCGAATTTGATACCAGCAGATTCGGCAGCTCGCACCTTGGCCCGGAGTTCTTTAAGCTCCCGGTCGCGACGACGGGACTTCTCCTGCATTTCAGCCAGAGCAGCTTTCGCCTTCTCACCCTCCTTGGCCTGCTCTTGGAGATCGGCCGCTAACTTCCGAGCGGCAGAAAGGAGGACCTGGCCGTCATCCCGATCGCTGGCCAGGGCTTTCATTTCCTTCTCAGCTGCAAGAAGGGCCTTGTGATAATATACACCAGCCTGAAAACAAGATTACAATAAAAGTCAGATAAGGTAAAACATGAATAATAGAAAGGCATGAATCGGAATGAGGTGTACCTTGAGTGCTTCCTGGTGACCTGCTTCGAAAAGATCCGACCAGTGGGTCAGATTCGTGAAGCTCGGGGGAACTTTGATTGCAGTGTGACACCACATAGAAGATGGCATCAACCCGAACAGATACCTCCCTTCTGATCTGGGCCCCATGTTTGAAAATTCGACAAACATCCGATCGTCGATCGGTGCGTCAGTAGGAGCCGGGGTTGATGTTTTGGCAGGCGCTGATCTTCTGGGTTCAGCCTCCGGCCCGGTCAGGTCAACCACATGATCGAGCGGGATCAATTGATTGCCATCGTTCCCCTTGCGCTTCTTCCGGTGTTGCTCCGCAGAGGCATGGTCGGCTATCATTTTTTCTTTGCCTTTACCAGAAGAAGCCGTCAGGGTAGCAGAAGAGATAGAACGCCAGACGGGTATGGGAGATATCATACCTGCAAGAAAGAGGAATAAAAGATAAGTTGAATTGTGAGAATGAAGGATGATCATGTTAAAACCCTACTACGCTTACCAATTCCAGCAGATGACATGCTTGAAGCAGTGACAAAACTCTTGAGACTACGGGTTCCTCCCATCCGCAAGGACTCTGCTTGGGAGCGTAGAACGGCGTCCACCCTGGGTTGGGAATCCCAAACGGGATAGGCGTTCCACCTATCCGGAAATGGCAGAGAATCGCCTACCCGAACGAACAAAAAACGCTCCTCCCAGTCAGCCGGCGGGGGTAACATTCTCTGTGAACAATTGACGATCAAAACGAGCTACCAGCTTCAGGTACACGGTCGTCCAGTAAGGCTGATAGCAGTAATGGTGAAGGAACAGATCGACGCTTGGGGTGATCCTCAACTCATGGCACCGAATAATGAAGCCTGTCAGAATGCGGTAAGTGCTGGGCACGAACTGAGCGAGCAGTACAGCAACCTGACGTAAGAACTCCACAATGAATGAATGGAGAGGGAACCGAAGCCCAGCAGTCAGAGCGTCGAGGTGCACTAGCACGTGCCCCGGTCGGTGCCTCATCGGGTGCCGAATGAATCCGGCGTAGTATTCCCTTGGTGGGGGCAACAACTGGCTAAGTTGCCGTTCGACATCTTCTGGAAGACGTTGTTTTTGTTTACGGAAGCTGGGAGAAAATTGCAGGGGAATCAACAAGGCGCAGAGAATTGCAGAATCGAAACCCGGAATTGAGAAGTTAAAGGCTAATTTATAGCCTTGAAACCGCCGTGTCAAGAACCAATCAGAGAGCGAGACGTCACTAGGAGCATTTAAGCTAAACACGTGTCTAATGAAAAGACTAAACGACGGTTATCATGATGAATATGGGGAAATGAAGCGGCAGCCGTCAAATCGCAGCATGGGGAACTGATTACTTTTGTACCCCGATCGCCATTCGGGGTATTATAACATTGATATTAATACTTCCTAATGCACGCACTATCGTTCGAGACATCGGAAGTGGGGGACTTGTGTTGGGATATTGACCTAGAGGCCCAATACCCAGATCGAGAAGGCCCAAGATATCCGGCCCAAGTAACGGGCCCATCACTCTATGATGAATAGATCCAGTAAGAAGACATACCGAACGGAATTCGGGCTATATATCATACTTGGACCAATTTGACAGCATCTTCAGTAAAGCCCAACATCCCGTTCGAGCAACGGCCAACCAGCAAGTGGCCAGGTGCAATTAATGCCAGACTGTGACATCAACAAGTGGAAGCATGGATGACCAAGTCGGTGGAACAACGGCCAATCAGCATGGGGCAGCCCATGCTCTCCATTAGTATAAATAGAAGGTTTCAAGTCATTGTAAGGGTTATCATTTCAATACTCAAGCTCTAGAATAGCATCATTGCTCTTATTTCTTGTATTAAAGCATAGTTTCCGACCTACCGATCGGGAAATTCCTTGTAATCAGATTGGTTAATGAATACAAGTGAGCTTTCGAGTGTTAGTTAGTTCAGATCTTATATTTTTCACACGCTTTGATTCTGTGTCATTCCTGATATATCCAAAGTTCGTGTTGAGCTTTCGGATCTACAGGATTTACCTTCAACAAATACCGTACTGAAAATGACGGTATAACAATAGTCCGGTATTTTTCAATATTTTTCGATACGGTAAATACGGCATACCGATATTCCGATATTTTTGGTCACCCCTAAACATTGCCGTAGTAGAATTGAAGTAATGGGCGGGTGTCGATCCATTGCCCCGCCGGTCGTACTTTTGGGAGGCTGGCAAATTGGCAATATAGCGTGTGGCAGTAAAGAATTTGTAGCCAACTGGAACTTAGCTGTGTGACAGAACCCTCTTTATTCCTTCCTCGTCGGTCACTATACAATTCCAACTACCAAATCTTCAACACTGTAAAAAACCACAACCAAACGACGCTTAAGGATATCTACTCCATTTTTATATTCCAAAAACAAAAATCAAAACCAAAAGCAAATACCACTTGCACCGACTTCCAGCTTCCGCGATCCGTAACTGTCACTGGTGAACTCTTCCCCCCACGAAAAGTTGATCAGTTGACGGCGGAAAATGCACGCGAAAACTGATTCGGAGGGCACCAGCTTGGCGCCATCTTCGCCGGACAACAGCCGAAGACCGGTGTACTACGTGCAGAGTCCGTCGCGCGACTCTCACGATGGGGAGAAGACTACAATGTCGTTTCATTCCACACCCGTGCTCAGCCCCACTGGATCGCCCCCGCGCTCTTCCGTCGGCCACCACTCCCGGGAGTCGTCCTCCACCCGCTTCTCCGGCTCTCTAAAGCCCGGATCCAGGAAGGTCAACCCTAACGGCGCTGGATCTGGCGCCGGCGGACAGAACCGGAAGGGGCAGAAGCCTTGGAAGGAGTGCGATGTGATTGAGGAGGAAGGCCTTCTCGAAGAGGACAGCTATCGCAAATCCCACCCTCGCCGGTGCTATTTTCTGGCATTTATTCTCGTCTTCGTCCTTCTATTCTCCATGTTTGCTCTCATTCTCTGGGGCGCCAGTAAGCCCCAAAAACCTAAAATCTCCATGAAGGTTAGCTTAGTCGAGATCTAGAAACAAGATTCATATTGATGTATCGATTTTACCGATCTGATTGCTCAGTTAATTGCTTTGTTCACAGAGTATCACATTCGAGAGCTTCGCAATTCAAGCTGGTTCTGACCATACAGGAGTGAGCACCGACATGATCTCCATGAATTCAACTCTGAAGTTTCTTTACCGCAACACTGCTACATTTTTCGGCGTCCATGCTGCTTCATCCCCTATTCATCTCTCATACTCAGAAATCACAATTGGCTCTGGAACAGTAAGCCCTTTAACTTTGGTTTTTCGGAATTAACTTGCTTTCAATGTTTGAATCTGAAAAGTCATGAATTTAGCGTAAAGGATATCATAGCCAAAAGGTTAGGGGGGTTTAGCAAATTAGTTACCTTCCTATCGAAACATGTCATGAAGTAAAGTAAAAGTGAGTTGACTTGCACATTTGCTCCTTCTGCACTCATCCTAGCAAAAGATGTCTTGAGTTAAATAAATTTTTAGATAAGCTGAATATTATAGAAATAATTTGCTTCTTTTTAAGTATGAAACATGGAGTTAATTTAGGAATGTGTATATGATGCATTTGCCCACAGTCTCCACACCCATGAATCCATTGAAGGTCATACCTATCCAGTTTTTCTATTTAAAATGCTTCATTTATGAATAATGAATTGGATTCAATCCATGCATTTGCCATCCATTTGGATAGTATGCTATCCATTTGTTATCATTTTAAATCATTGGATCCCATCAACTGAATTTTCCACATTTATAATTGGTTTGTTTTTCTTTTGATAGCTGTGTATAGTGAACTATTAAAGTATTGATATGTATTGAGAAAATGAATGAATTCAAACTCGTCTTTGTTGGGTTAATGTATGAATGAGTGAAGCAGCAGCCCGTCCATGCAATTTTGGACGGGATTTTCACTATGGGTCATCCGGAAACAGTCTTTCTGTGCTTTAGTACAGGGGTAAGACTGCGTACATCCGACCCCCCTTACCCCACCGTAGGTGGGAGCCTTTGCGGCACTAGGGTAAATGAAAATGAATGTATGAATGAGTGAGCTTTACTAAGTGGAACATAAATAAATTTGATTATTACTTCCAATGATTTTATGAGCCATAAACATACTAATGGATTGTTCTTAATGTATTCACTATAATCTAAATTGGGATTTGTCCAGTTTCTACATTTGCCTTTCTTAAAAGAAATCCAGGTTGTCTTATTGATTTGGTGAAATTTTGTTGAAACTAGGTGGAGAAATTCTATCAATCAAGAAAGAGCCAGAGGACATTAGGTGTATCAGTGGTAGGAAATAAGATTCCGTTGTATGGGAGTGGAGCGAGTTTGACTACAACACCAGCAGGGGCGACAACTCAGCCTGTGCCGCTGAAACTGAACATGGTGGTCAAATCAAGAGCGTATGTCTTGGGAAAATTGGTCAAACCCAAGTTTACCAAACAGATCGAGTGTTCTATCGTTCTCGATACCACAAAGCTCAATCACCCCATTTCCCTGAAGAATGCCTGTACATATGCTTGACAAACAGACGTTTCATGGCGGGTGGAGTTGCTTTTTCTTTTGAGGGCAGCTAAATGGGTGGTGGGCACATGGAAGTTTCCATCCTGATTCCTGGGTTACACTGCTTCACTACTGGTACTGATAATGGAAAACACTGCCTGGCTGAGTTTGAGGGTGAGGTGCAGGAGCAGTTATATTGAAACCATTTTTCATACTTGTTAATGTTGAAATATACATTTCTTTCATTCATATTTGTAATATTCGTATAATAACTTTGTATGCCATTTTATCATGTACCAATGTACCACCAAATTCAATGGGGTGTAGTATATTTTGAACTGTATATCATATACAAATACGGAGTAATAATAGGTAATGGTGACACTCCTCAGTCCGGCAGTCCCCGTTTTCTTTACGTTATAGTTCCTTTTTTTTTCTGAAAGGCAAAACAATTTTAATTGCAGAAAGTGAATTGATCAACGTCTTTTTGCAACCTGTTTCAATTTCTAATATAAAATAAAAACGTAAGGACATTATGAATTGATAATAATGTCACATACAAATATACAATCAAGAGAAGTTGAGAAGCATATAGAAAATTATTAAAACATGATCATAGTTATTAAAGCATCCTTAAATTCGTTCTGAGTTTTCGTCTCAACCAGTGAACCAACGAACGATTTTATAAAACAAGATTTCACAATATTCTAACTTTCTAAGTATACCCCCTTTATCTAGTGGTGGACTCGGTTCGGGCCACCCGGCCCGTGAACTGGCCCGGCCTGCTACTGTGCGGGCCCGGAATCGGCCCGGTCTGGCGGTCCTGGACCGGGTGTAGACCCGAACCGGGGGGCAGCGGGGGGCGGGCTCGGTTCTGGCAAAATGTGACCCGTCCGGGTTGGGCCCGGGCCCGAGTCACAACGGTTAGATTTAAAAAAAAAATGTTTTTGGGCCAATAGAGCCGTTAGGCCAACGGTTGGGACTACCCAAACGGCAATATAGCCGTTGGGTGGGCTGGCAGGGGGTCTGGGAAGTTTGGGGGGAGGGGGGAGGGGAGTAAAAAAAATTATAAATACTCCTAATCTTAAACATTTTCCATATCTCTTCTCCAACTCTTCCAAAATCCTACTCTCTACTCTCTAATTATCTTCATCTTCTCAAATTCTCTTATTCTCCAATATATAATATATCTACTTATATTATTGTTCTACTTATAAATACATATATTATATTACATATATTTCTTATCTACTCATATAGTTATATACTCTCTCCGTCCCTAAATGTTTGTCACACTTTCCCGAAACGGATGTCCCAAAATATTTGTCATACTTTTTCAACTTTCTTATTTGGTCAACAAATCTATACCAAACAATGTCAAACAGTGCCAAACAGTGTGAAATAGTGTCGCTACAGTGTGAAGTCAAATTCATCTCCTTAAAACTTGTGAAGTCAAAGTGTGACAAACATTTAGGGACGGGGGGATTATTAATTATCTATTTATAAATACATATATTATATTACTTATATTTCTTATCTACTTAATCTCTACTTATTATCTACTTATATCTATTACATACATACATATTACAATTTATATCTACTTAGTTCGAATTGTTAGTACATTTTAGTACGAATTAGGACATTTTATATAATACTTTGATTGTTAGTACATAAAATAATTGCTGGTACGAATTAAAGTTAGAATTGTTAGAATTTTATTTCATTAAAGTTAGAATTGTTAGAATTTTATTTCATTAGTTTGAATTGTTTTTATAAATTAATATTTGTTACATTTTTAAGATGGAAAGTGGTAGATATTCGGTTGATATGGATAACCTCGACCGCAACCGAACGAACGAGCTTGCGAGGAAGAGATCCCGCAAAGGTAAATCACATATCGGCTCTTCATCTCAAAGCCGAGATGATTTTGATACAGGTTACGCAAGGAGGGGTGGGGATGCGATGACCGACGAACAACTAGAACAAGAATTGCACCGACATTATAGTCGGTTTTTCCAAGATTAGCCAAGGACCATTGACGAAGAAGAGCTAGAGAACGATGATGTGGAGGAAGTAATTCCGGAGAGCCACGACGCCGACGCGGAGGAGGGTGGCGGCAGCCACGACGCCGACGAGCCTGCCTCATCCCAAACCGGTACGAAAAAAGTAAATCTGAACTAATGCTTAATAATTTTGATAAGTGGAAGGATCCGAACACCGGGAATTGGAACGCAACTTGTAAGTGGTGCAAGAAAAATTATAGCTTGGGGATTTCCGGCGGATACGGATCCGCCGCAAGGCATCTTAAGGCCAAACACACGGTGGAGTATGCAAAATTAGGCGGCAGAACGGGGAAGCAAACTCAAATATCGATGTTTACTAATAACCAACAACCTTTTGGTAATTTCTCATACGATGATGCACAAAATTTGACTGGTATGGCTAACTTAGTTGTTCAAGAAAATTTGCCTTATTTGTTTTCTGAAAGTCTTGCTTTCAAAGATTATGCACAAACTTGTTTAAATCCTCAATATAGAGATTATAGTCGCAAAACGGTTAAGAAAGAAATTTTAAGGCTTTATGATGCGAAAAAGGTAAGGTTACAAAATTATTTTGCAAACTTTGATTGGCGTGTTACTGTATATTCTGACATATGGAAGGATACTTATCATAATTACATTATTTGGGTCTGACTGCACATTATATTGATAATGATTGGAATATGCATAAACGTGTTCTTGCTTTTCGTGAATTTAATGATCGTCACACTGCTGAACATATTTATATATTAATTGAGTATAATTTGAATGATAAGGTGTTTGCTATTGGTTTTGATAATGCTACTAATAATATTGCTGCTATTTCTAGATTGCGTGAATTGTGTGGTGCTACTTCTTTGATGAGTAGATTTTTGGGGAAAATACCATAATAATACTAAAAGAGGGAGAAATTCCCATAATATGATTAAAAATCAGGTTTGATAGGAATATGACCTGTAAACACATTAGATGAATAAGATTCACGTGATAATCCCTACATTTTAGGCTTAGAAATTAATATAGGTGAGTAACCGTGAGTGGGATGGCCAAAATCAAGCAACAAAATAGAAAGAAAAACTACTAGGTTATTCATATGAGTCATATGAGTGATAATTCAATCTAGATTTTTTCATCAACGATGTGCATCTAGATTTTTTCATCAACGATGTGCATCTAGATTTTTTCATCAACGATGTGCATGTCATGTTCTAATTTTATGTTTGCAAGATGGTCTAAAAGCGTTAGGTGATTCTATGGAGGTAGTCAAGGGGGGATTAGACGTATTTGGGGTAGTGGTCAACTTAGAAAAAATGGCATGATTATTTGATAGAAAGAGGTGTGAAATATGTGGCTTTTCCTAAAGATTTGTCTATTCGTTGGAATAGTACTTATAAGTTAATGACAGTTCTTCTTAGTTAGATATAAAGAACATTTTCCTGCTTTTTTAAAACAATATGATAACTATATTATAAACTCGGCTGATATCGACACCAACGAAACAATTTGTAATGTTTTGGTATATTTTTTTAATGCAACTGGAACTTTTAGTCATGTTTATAAACCTATCTCAAACCATTTTATTCGTGAAGCTGTTAATCTCGCCGATGCTTTTGCGGAATTTGAGAATGCCGCTTATGTGAGTTATTTTGCTGAATTTATGAAAGAAAAGTTTTTAAAATATTATGCACATATTCCGCATATTTATGGTATTGCATTTGTTCTCAATCCTCGTTTTAGACTTGGTTCTTTAAGAGAATGTTTGAACTATTATTATGCCGCTTTTTTTGGTCCCCTTCCAATGTATGATGATAACGCAATTGATCCAAAAAAAGAATACAACGAGGTTAGTGATATATTTTATGTATTATTTAATGAGTTTCATGCACAATATGGCAACGCGCCCCTCCCCTGACACAAACATCTTCATCTAAAGGGAAATCAATTTTGAAATCTACATTTGTCAATCTTATTAAAAAACTAAAACAACTTCCGCTACTCAACAAAGCACAATTAATGAGATTTCTTTGTATTTAACATATGATGTTGATTTTGAAGAAGATGATGATTTTGACGTTCTAAACTGGTGGAAGGGAAAAGAAAGAATGTTCCCGATTTTAGCAAAGATGGCTAAGCAAGTGCTATCAATGCCGGTTTCAACAGTTGACGTGGAACAAGAATTTAGTTCGATCGACAATGTCCTAACGCAATCTAGAACGAGTTTGAGCACAGAATCTCTTGAGACACTTATATGTTACCATGATTGGTTGTGTACCACATCCGGTAGAGCTCAAGAAAATTGTATCACCCCATCCCAAAACTTTATGGATGAATCAACCGAGGGTGGCTCTACCTATGTCGGAGATTCCGATTGATTAGTATTTCATGTTTTAATTTTTTCCCTTCAATTCTCAATTGTAGCTTGTAAACATGTAGTTCATATTTCTAAATTTTAATAAATATACGTTCATTTTGTCATATTTCTAAATTCTAATAATATAGCCCTAATATGTAGCACTTCTCAAATTAATTAATTTTACATTATGTAATTTATTCCAAAATTTCAAACTAAAAAAAACAAAAAAAAATGAAATCAAAGGCTTAACCTCAAAGGCCCAAACGGCTATATAGTTGTTGGTGGGGGTGGGTGGGGGTACAAAAATTTCTATAAAATTTATACACATCTTCTCCAATATCCAATCTCCAATCTCCATTCTCCATCTTTATCTCCATCTATTCTAGACTTTCTGGTATTTATAGAATTATTATATCTACCATTTTTAAGATGGAAAATTAATATGACGTTATCGCGTATAATTTTTATACGCAGAAGGACCCGATGATCGAGATGTGGTACGCAACTTACAAATGGTGCGAGAAAAAATGTAGGTTCGGGGTTTCACGCGGATATGGGATGACCAAGAAGCATATTAAGTCATGTGACAAAGCCAAAGGACCGGGAAATTCCGATTGATTACAAAATGTATTTCATATTGTATTTTTTTCTCAATTGTCCAATGTAGTTCCTATTTCATTTCAAATAAATGCACTTGAAGTTTGTTTTTAATACTTGTATAAAACTATAAAGTATAAATAAGTAAAAAAAATTGGATTTACCAAGCCCGACCCGTGACCCGGACGGGTGGCCCAGCCTGAACCGGACCCGTCCTTACCTCGGGCCGGTCCCGGGCCCATGGCTTACAAACCGGAGGCTCGGCCCGAGCCTTAACCGGCCTGAGTCCATGACTAGATCCAAGGTTAGTGTTGGACCTTCGGGTCGTTCGGGACTTAACCTCAACAACATTTTTGGAAATTGTCTTTAGTTAAGTAATATTAAGATAAAAACCCCATAATAAAATTTACGGAAATTTAGAATTAAAAAAATATGAAAAAATTGTGTAATTTACAGGCCTGGTAACAAAAAGGCACGTTCTTGTAACCGTCATTATATTATATTATAATAACAAAATAAGGAAGGTTTATGGATGAGTTACCTAGCATGCTACAAAACTTACAAGAGGACAGTACTTATAAGTGCAAAAAGGGAACCATATTTACACTGAATGGCAGAAGCAGTGTAGGAGGGGGCAACCAATCAGCCAGATATGGGGCTTGCTGTTCCTATTGATTCTTCACCCATGGCCTGCTTTCCAATCGTGCTTTCAGAATCTTCACGATGATGCGGAGGTCTCGTCGGGTCTCTGCCCATGGATCTTCGGTCCTGAAATGGGCACCAACATGCATTAAATATTGAGTAGTCATCTTCATCCGATATGAAATAAAAAAAGAAATATTTTGTTTGTAATTGTTCAACCCAAGGTCTTATTAACCCATTGCTTTTTATTTTTTTAACGTGGGAATCTAAAGCTAGTGCAACCTTAGTCTTTAATACAGTTGTAGTTTTATTATTCATGTGGTCAACTTAATTCCTTTTTGTTATTTAATTTTATCCATTAAATCTTTATCATAATCGGATCCGGCTTTTACATTCAATAAAACTTTAGTGTAATTCCTTGATATGTACTATATCCGTCTCAACGTAAGGTTTCCATTGCAAAATAGCAAAATTATTTAGAATAATTAAATAAGGCAATTTGAATTTATTTTGAGAAACAGTTCTATGAGTATATAACATAATAGGGTCATTGATGATAACTATCATGTTATAGATGCATTATTTTTTAATATTTGATGATTAAGGCCTTGTTTGGTTCAAAGGAGGGGAGGGAAGGGGAGAGTCAAGGAGGGAAAGGAAGGGAAGGGGAAGGAAGGATTTTGATAAAAATTTGTGTTTGATTGGAGGAAATAGGAGGAAAGGTTTAATGAAAATAATTCCGCAATTTACTTTTATTTGATAGCTTACTTAAAAAAATAGATACATGTCTAACTAGTGAATATTACTCCTATGGTCATGAGTCATAATTTAGTTTGATTTGATTTTTTACTTTTTTCATTTCATAACTTTTCATTTTTCAGTTTGGATTTTTTTTTTTACATTTTTTTTATTTTTAATTTTTAAAATTTTTAATTTACAATTTTTTAATTTCTAAAAATTTTAATTTTTTAATTTTTTAATTTTTTAATCTTTAAATTTTTAATTTTTAAATTTTCAAATCTTTTTGTTTTTTAACTTTTTATATTATAATGTTTTGTTCATTCACATAGGAGATGAATAGTTTGTGTTTATAAACATGTTTCCTCCGAAATATCCCGATTTGGAGGGTTTAGAATGAGAGGAAGTGAAGGATTTTGAAAGCCTTCCACTTTCCTCCACTTCTCCCCTATTTCCTTCAACCAAACACACACAAATCCCCCACTTTCCTCTCCTCCCCTCCGAAACCCTCCAACCAAACAAAGCTTAAGTGGTCAATTGAATGAACGCATTAAATGCATAAGAGATCAACAATATTGTAAAAACGAAAAAGAAAAGCTCCTCTCTATGAGCTCATGTTTTTGTATTCTTACAATCCAATTATTAAGCACTAAAGTTAATTGCATGACGGCTAAAGCTAGCATCCCGTATTTTGCAAAACATAAAAATATGAATTGATCAATTAAATGAATGCATTAAACGCATAGAAGATCAACAATAGTTGAAAAGCAAATACTAAAAGAAAATACTAAAATTAATATTTTTAGTTGCATGACTGTTAATATTTTTGTATTTTTTTAATTGTGACCCCATGTTTTTGTATTTTTGTATTGTGACCCCATGTTTTTGTATTTTTTTCCTAAACGAAAATACTAAAATTAATTGCATGACTGTTAATATTAAAATACTAAAAATTTTGTATTGTGACCCCATGTTTTTGAATGTTTTTGTACTCAAATACTACTACATTTCTGATGTTTTTTCCAAACAAGCATGTCAAAATTAAAGTTTTTCTAAACCTGATATTTTTTAGTAAAAACTTTTCCACATAAACAATAATAAGCGCGTGTAGCAGTCGCACAACTTTTCTCATATGTATCTGTCATCTTAATGAAAATGATGAATTCAAATTGAGTGTTATTTGATGAACATATAAAGATAATGATTTTAACATAGTTCCATTCTATTTTTTTATGTCTTATTTGTTGACATTAGTTGCAAAATCATGTCTTGAACTTAATTACGTTTTTTTTGTCATGGACTTGTGCAATTACGAATTATTCTTTTATGCAATAATAAGATTTGCTAGTTTAAAATGTGTATACTTTTATTTGTTTTTACTATATATGTTATTTTGTGAAGTATATAATTTAAATATTCAAAATAATACCCCGTTTTTTTGTAATAAATACCGCATTATACACGTATACGTATTTACACGTTTTTTAAAAGTCAACGTTTTTTCAACGAATTTTTGACCGTTCTTTCGGTAATGTTACCGAATAAAACACGTACGTATTAAACCTCGTTTAATTCCCGTACCGTATTTAACTAACTATGGATGGAGTACATTTTAATTATTAAAATCTCATATGATTAGGAAAAGCTAAAGACTTTAACTATAGTCAAATCTCGTATACCAGAACTGACAAAGGAAATAAAGACAGTGAAATAGAACTCCGAATAAAACTCAATTAGGGTTGCATCTCTATTACAAATAGTTTATCACAGTTGTCATACGTATTATCTGAAAAACCAGTGAAAAAAATCCTAGTTTGGCAGATCTGCCAAAGTAGTCTTTCGACGTACAGGGTAAACAAATCTTTGTCTTTCACTATTTTTTTCTCCATTTTCTCTTGTTCAACAAAGTAGTGTATTTTCGTAGCATGTAGCAGAGGAACATAAAGAGTCACCACTAAATAAAGTAGCCCACATGTTATGACTTTTTAAGAGAAGCAAAAAGAGGTCCATGGGATCTATACTACTACACTCATTAAAGTTGTTCATTACAAGTTGGATAACTGCTGTGAGAATATATATGTTTTAAAAGTCTGGGGGGAAATATCATAAGATGCACTCAGTTGTAATTATAGAAATCGACACTGGAAGCTTTAATCCTATTTATACCAAATGAAAGGAGGCCATAGCAATAAGCAAATCTGGTGATGACCTTGCACGCTTACTGTATAGAGAAAAATCTACTCTACTTGAGAGCGCACTAACATAAGGCACAAAGAGGAGATGATTTTCTTTAATACTCCCTCCGTCCCTTAAAGGTTTGCCAAATTTGACCGGCACGTAGAATAATAAAGTAAAAAAGTATGTGGTAGATATTTGTGCAGAAGAGAGAGAAATAACATTAGCATGCTCGTATGATTACTTGATCAGTATAGTAGTTACCCACCGCAACAAAAGGGTAGTTATGAACATGTCACACACAATGTATAGATGTGAAAACTGACAAGATCCCATGTGGTAGGAATATTTTGGCAGAAATGGGCTGAATTTGTATAGATGTGAAAACTTTAATGAGCTGAATTTGTTGATACGTAACTCAGTTTTTCATGAATCAGCTAGGTTAATTATCTAAGCCTGATGGTTCACCCATTTCAATGCACATGAGTAAAATAGTTTAATATTTGGAATAAAATTTGTCCGAACAGAACGTTAGATGTAAGATGCTATACTATTGTTTTCCTGTGATCATAAAAGAAAATGTTTGAGGGTCTAATATATGGGGGATTAATAGAAGACAGGACTCATGAGATTGTGCTTAGAAAAATCAAACTTACCTCACGGTAAGGAAAATCATCGGCTTCAAGCATGTGTAAAACATGAGCCATCTTTGGCCTCTTCTGAGCATTGGGGTCGACACAACGTAGGGCAACCAAAAGGATGCGTTTCAATGCCCTTGAACAAGGTTTCTCTTGTAACTTGGGATCCGAAAGCCCCTCCGCATTTCGGTTTGAAACCATATTTTTAAGCCATTCAACTACGTTCACCTATAATAATAATGAGAGGCAATTTGTTAGAGGCAATCCAAACTCCAAAGGTTGTAGTAATAAATTCACAATTTGTTATTAAGCCAAACCTCTCCAGGAGGGCGGCTATAATCAACTGGGTTTCTCCCGGTAATCATCTCCATAAGAAGGATTCCAAAACTATACACATCACTTCGTTCGTTTAACATGCCAGTACTAGCATATTCTGGAGCAACATAGCTGCACATATAAAAAGATGAAATTTATGCAAGCATTCCAACTCATCTTCCTTTCTCTAGCTGAAGAAAGCAAGCAATTACCTAAAAGGTAAAGCTTTACCTTTCTCTAGCTGAAGAAACCAAGCAATTACCTAAAAGGCAAAGCATTAAAATATGATTTTGGTCGAGCAATTTCTCTATCTGAAAAGAAAATGATATTCTTCCCTGTAACTTAATTTTTTATTTTAAAATCTCTGTTCTGAACTTTTCAAGTCAATTTTTTATAAATTATAGGGACAAATAGCAAAAGTAAAAACACATACAGAGAGTTAAAAACCTGAAACAAAATACATTATGAGTCCGTTTGATATGCCAAAATAAGCTTATAAGCTGTAAAGGATTGAAAAGGAACAAACACCCTAATGTCTGGCTGATTAGGCTTTTAAGCAAAACATAGATTATTGGTACCTTTAGGCTGTTTCTTATTTTGACAATAAAATGACAGCTCTATCATCATTTTTTGTTTTGCCCAATATAAAAAACACTATCGATCATTTCAGGTAATTATACATCCAATCAATCATTTTAACCGAAAAATCAACAAACACTTCATATTAAGCTATTTCAGCTATCCCCAACAGGCCCTATATTTGTAAAGAAGAAAACATAGATATGATAAAAAACGGGGATGGGAGAAATTGAGCTTACAGACCCAAACGTTCCCATGACCCGAGTGGTGATGTAACTCTTCTCAGAACCCAAGAGTTTGGCCAAGCCAAAGTCGGATAGCTTTGGATTCCATTGCTTATCAAGCAAAATATTGCTTGATTTGATGTCCCTGTGAATAACTTTAGGTTCGAGCCCATCATGCAAATAGCTCAACCTACAAAACATGCAGAGTCTTACTTATAGACTTATAGAAGAAGTTAAATAAAGTATATGAACATTCAACATAAGCAATGGAAAAGACAGCAATAATAATAATAATAATAATAATAATAATTGCTATTATTATTTGTATTACTATAAATGAATAGTAAACAAAAGTATATGTAAAAAGATTATAAAATATAAAAAAAATATGTTGAAATATGAAGCTTCCACCCCAGTGTAAAATTTTTCAAACTCTGCCATGTCTAATACAACAACATTTCTGGCTCCACCACTAAACAAAAGCATAAATACCCTTTAGCCACTCCAAGAACAATATTCATCCGGATTTCCCAGGTTAGAGGGCTGTGGGGCCCTACATCTCCATGAAGCCATTGCTCTAAGTTTCCATTGTCCACATACTCATAAACAAGCATCCTGGAAGCCACACTAAGGAAATTTTAATAACAATCCCAAGTAAATCTAGCATAAAAGAGTCTTAAGACTCTATTTAGGATCAGGGGTACAGACCTATGAGCACCTTCCACACAGAAACCAAGCAACCTCACCAAATTCTTGTGCCTGATTCGCCCAATAGCTTCCACTTCAACCTTAAACTCCTTCTCAGCTTGGCCCCTGAATTAAAAATCCCATAATGGACACAAACAGAACAAAGAATAACCCAAATATCAATGCCAAGCCGCTAGAATCTAGCCAAGAAGTTTTTGCTGGAAATGACAATCTTGTCATGGGAATGTAGAAGATGCTATTTTTTATCACAAATTACTAGTTTATAATCCATACTTAATATTACAAAATGTCATTTCTTGCCATGAAAACATAATTAGATGCTAGTCAGAATGTTATGCTTATTTTCAAGAATACGCAGCTTTTGACTTGTTTGGCCGAAAGGGATATTAAAGAACACTTTTCCCTTCAAACAATTCAACATAATTAGTCGTTTCATTTCTTTTCGTTCAGTAATTTCAGCCAACTAGCTTTACCAAACAGCACCTAAGTATACTCTCGTTAATTTTAGGCATTGATTAGGCAGCTACATCATTAATTCAAAATAAATACCATATAAATCAATAAAAACCACCTCGTAAATGTAGTTTATGGGACAAAGACACATGGGGACAGAAGATACTTTGAAGTTTACCTGTTATTGAGCAAATTCTTCACAGCAATTATCGTATTATCTTCAAGAACACCATAGTAAACGATTCCATAGCCACCTTCACCTATCACGTTTTCAACAGAAAATCCATTTGTGGATACTTCGAGCTCTCTGAGAGTGTACCAATGACCCCACCCCAAATGTGACACTTCGGGAACTGACTGATCACCCGACCCGAGCTTCTCGCTCCCGTCACACGAACCCACCCGCTCCGAATACGAACTTCTGCGACCCTTTCCATTTCCTCCCTGAACCATCCTATCCCCGCCGGATTTCTGTGTATCTTTCCCTAAATATTCGGGCTCGGGCACGGGGTGGGCGGTATCCACAGAATTCTTCGGATTTTCAAGCATGGCCCGAGACGGCGGGTCGACCCGAATCTCCTGGATCTCTTTGGAAACGATGGGGATTGCGTGGGGGAGAAAGGCGGTGATCTTTTTCCTGACATTGCGCCTGGACGTTAGCCACACAGAGATGATGAACAGAAGAAGAACAAACGCCGCTCCCAAACAAATACCCAGTACGACCCATAACCTCAACCCGAACACAGTCGTCCGCTTCGACAGCTCATCGTTCAGAAAGCCCGACATATAGAATATAAGCTAGTAGTAAGTGCGGGCATGACCCGGAAACCAGGAGTGGGTAAAAGAACAGTTTGTGTGAGGAGCGAAAGTAGACAGGGAGGTTTAAGCTATGATCCTTAGAATGTCAGTGACGATGGAGCTTCTTCAAACATGTCGGAACCCACATTTTTAATGACTCCGTATAAAATTTAAATGTATTTAGCAATAATGACAAGTCAACTTGGTGCCTTTTGTTTAGTCTTCCATTAAAATTTTGTAATCCAAATATGCTCCATTTAGATTTTGTATTGACGTTCAATTAACTCATAATAAATGTTGAAATTACCACAACAACGTCCAACATTTAATCCCATAAGATTTTGGAGTCGCAAAAAAAGAAAAATGATAAAATAAAATATAGATAAGATAAGATAAAAGGAAGAATAAAGTACTCCCTCCGATTCCTAAAGAAGTTCCACATTTGACTTCACACATATTAAGAAAATAAATTTGACTTTACTGTGGAGTGCACTGTTTGGCACTGTTTGAACACTGTTTGGCACTGTTTGACACTGTTTGACACTGTTTTGATGTAGATAATAAGGAAATGTTTGAAAGTGAAACTTAATTTTGAATCTGCCCGAAAAGGAAAGGTGGAACTTGTTTCAGAAACGGATGGAGTAATATGGTACGTATATAGGATGCCAATCAAGTACAAATTGCAAATTAAATAGTTCACTTTTTGCCTGTGCGATGCACTACTGGGTCTCTATGTTGTACTTTTTCACATTTATAGAAAGCTTTGACTCATTTGCGAAAATGTATCCGCATTTTTTGTTTGACATGGTTCGACCAAAGTTTAAAATGTGCAACAGACCTCCCTTAAAATGTGTTGAAAAATATTTTATTGTGTATCAAGTTTGTCAAAAATCTTGTATTTGTATAGCCTTTATTACTACTTTATGTATTTATTGTTGTATTTATTAGAGTAGTAAAGAGTGGTGAGGCCCAAATGTCTGGCCCATATACCAGGCGTAAAGTCTGTACGCAAAACAACATGCGCATATAAAAAGGCGCTTAAGGGTTAGGTTTGCGTTAACTTTTGCATTGATCTTTACAGCCTTAGAGCTTATTATTCTTCCTGTAGAAGTTCACGGTATATCAAAGACGAGTTTAAGGATCTCCAGTGTATATCTTTCTGCTATTCTTATCTTTGAATATTGTTATATTGCTGTATTCATATAAACAGGGACAAACAATTGGTATCAGAGCCGATCGAGACCGATCAGACGTTCATCGTCGAAAGATTGTCGTTTTCTTGTTTATCTGTAGTTTTTCGAGTTTAGCTATTGTAATCTTGTTTTTGATCAAATACCTGTAAAATTTATATTGTTAGATTCGCAATCTTATAACGATCGAGCAGTATATCTTAGATTTTGTTTTACGCAAAATTTCCTTTTTGAGGAACTCGACATTGAGAACTCAAGACTACATGTTCTACAAGTTCCACTCAGCTTTTTGATCTGAAATTTTCACAGGAGAATCTCGACATCCAGGAGTACAGGAAATATTTTTCAGATCTTGAAAACTCGAAACTTTCTATTTGCAGGAACTCGCAATTCAGGTTTTGAACTCCTAAACTCGCAGTTGGACTCTCGAGTTTAGAACTCGCATTGTATAAACTCTCAGCATCAAAACTCGCAAGTCTTTACTCGAGTTTTGAAGTTGCGAGTTTCATATCTCGAGTTTTGAAAACTCGAAACTCTAAAACTCGAGATTACAATCTCGAGTTCTCTTCTCGAAATCTTCAAACTCGAGTTTAGCATTTCAACACTCAGGAACTCAAGGTTCTACCTTAGAATTTTTTTCTCTGATCAAATCTCGAATGGTCAGTTTGTAACAGCAATGGCAACAGACTCTTCAGCACTTGGTAACAGCAACAATCCCCCAGTACTGAGAAATGGGGAATATGAGATGTGGAAGACTCGATTTCTCAACTTTCTAGAGAATCGGGATAACTTTTCTGATCTGTTAGAATCCCTCGCGCAAGGCCCTGCAGTACTGTGGATAACTATCCCGGGGAATGAGAACAATAATCCGCCAATTGAACAAGTCAGACGGATTAAAACCCCCACTGAATACACAGCAGAGGGTAGAGAGAGATTGAAGGCTGATCTCATTGTCAAAACATACCTGCTACAGGCCATTCCCAATGATATCTACATTATGATTGACAGTATGCAGACTGCGAAGGAAATGTGGGATGAAGTCGCAAAGCTGTTGCAGGGAACCTCCATTGGACTAACGACAAAAAAGGCTAGTACTCTGACGGCCTATGACTCTTTTAAAGCCTTACCTGGGGAATCACTCATTTCAACCCACAAGAGATTCATGACTCTAATAATTGAACTTAGAAAGATCAAAATATTCAAATCCAATATGGAAATGAATATTAGATATATGTCCAGTCTGAATCCTGAATGGAGAAATCATGTGAAGATGCAAGAACCGGCCTAGACCTGGATGAAGTGGACCTCTGTACCTTAAGAGACCATCTGGGGTCATTTGAAAGTGATGCTGCAGAACTAGAAGGACAGTATTCAATTGTTCTGTTAGCTCTTGTAATGGAGGCACAACCAAAGAGGCCCGCGAAAGCCCTGAAGAAGAAAAAGAAGGTTATCTCTGAGTCAGAAGAAGAAGATAGCGATGATGAAATAGACTTGGATCTTCTATCATCTTTAGATCCAACCCAATCAACATCTGCAAAGCATTCTATTTTCATGTGATTATGATTTTGATTAACAATACTTCGTCCGGGTGCTCCCTTTAAGTAACATAATATGTGTTCTACAGTAGCCCAATGATCAATGGTCGGAGATGACATGTATTGACTCACTACACTCACAGAGTAAGCAATTTTGGATGAGTGATTGCGAGATAATTAAGCTTTCTAACCAATCGTCGATATCTTTCTGGGTCCTCAAACGACATGCCTTCTTGAGTGAGTTGCACATTGGGAATCATGGGAGTATTGCTCGGCTTTGATCCCAATTTCCCTATTTCAGCTAGCAAATCAAGTACATATTTTCATTGAGATAGAAATATGTCTTTCTTACTCCGTGTTACCTAAATATCCAAGAAGTATTTCAATGAGCCTAGATCTTTTGTCTGGAACTGGCTATGAAGATAATTCTTAAGGGCCAAAATACCTGCATTATCACTGCCTGCAATCACAATATCATTGACATACACCACAAGCAATGTGATACCTGCTTTCGTTCGTCTGTAAAAGAGAGTGATCTGATTTGCCTTTTATCATTCCAAACTGTTCAATTGATCGACTGAACTTCCCAAACCATGCACGAGGACTCTGTTTCAGACCATAAAGAGATTTGCGAAGTCGACAAACTTTACCATACTCCCCCTGAGCAACAAACCCCGAAGGTTGCTCGATGTAAACTTCTTCCTGAAGGTCACCATGCAAGAATGCATTTTTAAGTGCCAATAATAGTTGCAACGAATGAAATAAGTATCCTGACAGGTGTTAATTTAGCAACAGGAGAAAAAGTGTGAGAATAATCAACACCATAGGTTTGAGTGATAGAGTATATCTAGAGAGAAGTGAGAGCTAGAGAGAGAAGTGCAATAATATGCTTCAATAGAATGAATTTGTAACCCCCCATAACTACTCCCAAGGGGAGTATTTATAGAGAAAATTAGGGCTGGGCTCCCAAGTTTTGGGCTTGGGAGGCCCATTTACAACTGGACCGCTACTGGGCCGAATACAAAGCCACTAATGGGCTGTACAAATGAATAAGTATAAAATCCGGTTCTGTGAGGTCTTCGTGGCCGACGAGGGCGTGGCCGAGGAGGGCACGGCCGACGATGGCACCCGGGTTCTTTGGGCTCAGGACCATAATCTGAGTTGGCCCCTTTTCGACCGACAAGGGCGTCTTGGCCGACGAGGGTGCCACTCTGTGTCTTGCGCTTTCTGTTCCTCCGAGTATGTGGGTCCGGGGGCTCGGACCCATATACTCCATCAGGAGTCCCCCACTCTCTAAGCTGAGACGTAGACGAAGTGAAGGAGAGTAGATTCCCGTGCTTTAGTGCTTTTGGCCGATGCGGGCGTTCCCAGACCGTTGACCGTTGCGGCGTCGGCGTTGTTCCCTCTTTGGTGATCCTGTTCTGTGCTTTGGCCGTTACCTGTTCCTCGCTGTGGGCGGGGAGGCCGTTTCCTTAATGTGTTCATTTGAGGATGGTGAGTGTCTTGTTTCAATGTCGGCCGTTGAAGGCACGCTTTCCCTTTCCTGGACGTTGTTGGTTGAAGTTTATGTTTGGGCCGATGAGGCCGTTGAGGTTGTTCCTTGCTTTGAGGACGATGGCGTCCTTTCCTTTGGGTGGCCGATGAGGGTGCTCGCACACTCCTTTTGGCCGTCGTTGATTGGCTTTCATGTTATTGGCCGAAGAACCCATCATGATTAACTATTGGCGGAGGACGATGAGTGTCCTTGCCTTAGGTGGCCCGTTGGCCGTTGCTGATGACGTTGTGTGCCTTTGGCCGACGAGGCGCAGTGTGATACATGGCCGATGTGGCCATGCTTTGTGGTTACCTTTTTTGCATTTTCTCTTTGTTTTGTTGAGGCCGGTGTAGTCCCCCAGTCCCCCACTGCTTCAGGCCGAAGAGTGCGAGGGGTGAAGGAGTTGCTTGAGTCCTTGGCCGAAGCGGCCTCTCCGTAGTCCCCCTGAATCCAACCCTCATGGCGATTTTCTGGCCAAGGTAACCCTGTGGGAGAACCCTTGTGCGCAGATCGCTTGTAGAGAGTTATCATCAAGGGTCATGACGAGGAGCCGATGGCTTGTGGGCTCTGTTTCCTTTGGTCCTGTGGCCGTTACGTTCCTAGTCGTTGCCGTCTCCTTATTGTTTGGCAGTTGTGATTTTGGCGAGCAAGTGGGACGTTGTGGGGGCTTGCTGGCATTTGTAAAGCTGGTAAGCGTGTGGGCCGTAGAGTCTGATCCGGCATTGGGCTCTTGGTATGTATATTGGCCCGTTCGTGACGTGGTGCCCCCCCATTAGTGGCCGTTGGTGTGGCCATTGGGAGGGTGCCACGTGTAGTGACCGTTGGGTGGGGGGTTCTATAAATACCCCTCCTCCTCCGACGAGAAAATGTATTTGCATTCTGAATTTGTCGAAGTGTTGTCCGATTTTCTAGA